TGAATCTAAAAATCAAGTGAATAAAAAATCTGATGAACAGAATAAACTAGTGAACATAATAGAATCAGGGGCATAGAAATAGAGTAGACTGACAATTCTCGAGGGAAGGGGGTGTGAAGGGTGCAGGAAGAGACTGGACAAAAATCTTACACCTATGGATGAAGACAGTGGCAGGGGGTAAGGGCATGGGGTGGGGTGGAGAATCAGATAGAGGGAAGCTATGGAGGGGAAAAAAGAGGAACACCTACCGAAGCCAGTTTGGCTCAGTGATAGAGCGTCGGTCTGTGGACTGAAGGGTCCCAAGTTCGATTCCGGTCAAGGCCATGTACCTTGGTTGCGGGCACATCCCCGGTAAGGGGTGTGCAGGAGGCAGCTGGTTGATGTTTCTCTCTCATCGACATTTCTAGCTCTCTATCTCTCTCCCTTTCTATCTGTTAAAAATCAATAAAAAAATTTTAAAAAAAGAGGAACACCTGTAATAATCTGATCAATATTTATTTTTTAAAAAAGAAATATGCATCAATAAATAAATAAATAAATTCATGTCATAAAGTATTTTGTTTTCCATTCATTCTACAAGTTACATTTTTTTAAAGTTGCATTTTCTACTATGTTAACATATACAAGAAAGCTATAGATTTTTTTATATTTAACTACCACAGAGATATTTCTTACTGTTTCTAAAGAATTATTCCATTGACTAGATAATTAGAAATCAATACATCCTTAATATTTATGCCTTTCCAGTTCACCACTTTGTAACTGCACTGCCTAACTGCATTACTGAACACTTCCAGAATGCTGGTAAATAACAGTGATAGTACGTGTATCAGTCTTCATCCTGACTTTCATGAGAATGCTTCCTATGAGATATAACCTCTTTGTTATGATAAGGCAGTATTCATCTAATTCTGTCTTACAAAGGATTTTAAAAGGAGACGTGAATTTCTTTTAAATGATATTTTATATATCAATCAAGATGATCATACAGTTTTCTCCACTAACCCATTAGAATATTCAATTTATAGTCTCTAATATTGAACCATATTGAAATGTCATGAATATATTCTGTATGGCTGCAGCATATTTAAGTAAATTATTTTTTTCTACTCCATATTAATTAATATTCTTCTGTCAATATATAATAGTCATTGTAATTTTATTTTTTTTATTTTTTTTCAAAGACTTACTTTCTTTGCCCGGATTTTTAATTCTGAATTATTATACTGGCTTCATAAAAAAGAATGAAAATCTTGTTTTTCTTTCTATAAGTCTAGAACAATTTAAACAGTATCAAAATGTTCTCCTTCCTGAAAATTGCAAAGAATTCTTATGAGAATCTCTTGGCCTGGACATTCTACTCCATTCCTTCTATAATAACTTAAGAGTCTCTTAATTAATAATTTCTTATTGTAGGCTCCTTCATGCATAGTTACAGGCCTATACGTAATTACTTGGCACCAATGTTGTAAACTGAGTCAAACAAAATAACTGCTTACCATTTTTAAAGGAATAAAAGCATGTTAAACTCCACTTTAAGATTGGATAGAACAACCAAAGATCAGTAAGGAAATAGAAGACTTCAATATCCTAATTTAACAATCAGACCTAAAAGATATCTATAGAACACTCACCCAACAAAGGCAGAATAGAATATACATTCTCATTTACATGGTGCATTCCCCAGGATAAATCATAAAACATAAAAACAGGCCATAAAGCAAACATCAAAAAACTTCAAAGGACAGAAATAATAGAAAACATGTTCTCCAACCAAAGCAGAAGAAAACTAGAAATCAGTAACAGAAAGAAACTTGGGAAACTAGGAACACCCAGGAAAACGGACTATTGCCTAAGGAAGGGGCAGTGACTTAATTATAGGCTAAGAAGAATGTAAGAAGAAGTATAATACCTATCATACCTAAGAAAATTACCAATTCTATTGAGGAATATAGGGGACAACCTTGTGGGGGTGTGTGTGTACAATCTGAATCTGTGCCAGTGACTAGGACACTGGTCACTGGCACAGATTCAGATTGTACACACACACCCCCACAAGGTTGTCCCCTATATTCCTCAATAGAATTGGTAATTTTCTTAGGTATGATAGGTATTATAGATATGTAAGAGAATGTCCTTAATTCTGGGAAATAAATACTGAAATATTTGGAGGTGAAATGCCACAATGTCTGTAATTTACTTAGCATATAAGTTATAGACAATGCTATTTAGAAAAATCTTTAGGGGAAAAAAAGGGGCGGGGGGGGGGGGGGAGAGAAACTCTCTTACCCTTTGAGACAGCATACAGGACCTGAAGAGTATTATGCTAAATGACATAAGCCAATCAGAGAAAGACAATTATCATATGATCTCACTTATATGTGGATCTAATGAGCAAAACAAACTTACAAACAAAACAGACCCAGAGACATTGAAGCATGCAACTGACTGACATACTTCAGAGGGAAGGGTGAGCAGGGGTGGGGAAGGAGATGGGAGGTAGGAAGAGATGAACCAAACAACTTGTATGTATAAATTGCATAACCTATGGACATGACAACAGTGCAGTGAAAGCCTGGGGAGGATGCGGAGTGGAGTGGAGTTTGAATGGAGTGGAGTGGAGGGGGTCAATGGGAGGAAAAAAAGGGGTTATCTTTAATACTTGCAACAATAAAGATACTTTTTTTAAAAAAGAAGAAAAGAAAATGTGTCAAAATGTTAACAATTGGTGAATCCACATTAAGGATATATGGGTGTCCATTGTAGTACTCTTCAAGTTTCATTATATTTAAACACTTAAGAATATAAATAAATGGCCAACAATATGAAAAGATAATCAATAGTGATGATGATTGTGAATAAGATGATTGGGGGGAAGGGAACCAAAAGAAAAAACTGCATAATCATCTTTAAAATCCAGCTTTTGCCTATTACACATTGTGTGCAAGTGACTTTTCTCTCCTTCATGTGACTTACCATTTAATATTGTGATTGTCAGACTTTTTCCCTACTTAGCTGCTTAAAAATTAGTTGTTTTTAACATAAAATTAATAGCATTTAGAATAAACTGTTGCAGTATTTTACCATCACAATAATATTTACATTTTAATTTGTGAAATTAATATATAAAAGTATGTAAGATTTTTTACTCCAAGTTACATTTAAAATTCTCACCTCTGGAAAATAAACATTGAAATATTAGCAATGCATCTGTTCCTATTACTGATACTGATTAGATATAATAGTAACATTTTTTATCAGGAAACAAAATATACTGTTAGAGGAATTCACCTTTTCTACTTTCTTGAAACTGAAGCAAAAACCAAATAGCCCATTTGGCCTATGGCTGAGGCTTAGATTAAACTTTGACCATCCCAACCATCATTATTCTTCTTCTTTTCCTTATGGTATCATTCCAGAAACTAACTTAAAGTAGGTCATATTAGGAGGAACTTTTGATGGAGCGTGAATTGCTTCCGTTGTGGGACTTGGCCAATCTTATTCTAAATTATGGAATTTAGAATGGGCAAATTTTAGTGGCTAAAGTTTTTAAAATATATAACTACCACATGAATGACAAAGACTTAGACCAATTCTTTTGCAGCTAGTTTATTCAAAATTCTGGAAAATAAAAGTCTACCTCTACATCAAAATACAAAGCCACAAATGTAAGAATCAGGAAACGCAGTCATGCTATTTGAGGCAAGAACTTACAGAAATTGATTATTCTACAATGCCAACTTTGAAATGTAAATATATAGAAAAAAAATAAAAATATAAATAATGTTGCCCTAGTTGGTTTAACTCAGTGGCTAGATAATCAGTCTGCAAACTGAAGGGTCCCAAGGTCCTGGGGCACATGACCAGATTGTAAGCTTGATCCCCAGTAGGGGAGTGCAAGAAGCAGGCTATCAATAATTCTCTCTCATCATTGATGTTTCTATCTCTCTCCCCCTCTCCCTTCCTCTCTGAAATCAATAAAAATATTTTTAAATAATTATATATATATATAATGTTTCCAATATATATAATGTTATCCATCCCAGCAGTAACCTCCATGAGAATAAAACCTAGAGAATTAGCTATATTGTGGTATAAAAAAATAAGGAAAAGGTTATTGTTAGACTTGAAATAAAAACAGAACTTGTGGCCCTAGCCAGTTTGGCTCAGTGGATAGAGCATCAGCCTGGAGACTGCAGGGCATATGCCTGGGTTTCAGGCTTGATCCCCAGTGGGGGCTGTGCAGGAAGCAGCCAATCAGTGATTCTCTCTCATCATTCATGTTTCTATCTCTCGCTCCTTTTCCCTTCCTCTCTGAAATCAATGAAGAAATACATTTTTAAAAAAGTAGTGTACAAAAAAGAAAAACAATAACCTACATTAAAGTACACTTACTTATATTTCATTCCATAAAGTTCTAATAATTTACATTCATTTCCCATTTTTCTACTCGTAGTTCATCACTGCTTTAAAAAAAAAAAAAATGCCTGCTTGCTAAAAATCCTCAATTAAAGTATATATCATTTACTGCTTTACGCTATACTTTCTTTTGCTCACGTCCAGTTAGGATTAGCCTTCCTTTCCTTTATCAAAATTTCAGCTGAACACAGTAAAGCACTCAGGAAGGTTAAACAATGATAGGAGTCCCTTAGTGATACTGGAGTCAGGCTGTGGGGAAATGTGGTTTTGTAAGGCAGCACGGCATAGACAGTTCATTAATCTTTGAATCTAACTTCCTCATGCTTTACTTAAACCTATTAGGTGACCAGCAATCAGTCTAGCTATTTCATTCTAGTAGGTTTTTAAAGCCTTGAAAAAACCAGTTAAGACAGGTTTTGCTTAAAAGAAGAGTATTTAAACAAAGGTGTGTGTGTGTGTGTGTGTGTGTGTGTACACACACTACCTTTTTCAGCCCACAGGGGGGAAAGCTACATCTTTCACCTTTTTTCTATTTGACCCAAAATAAGGTTCTGATTCAAATAAAGCATAAATATACTTACAGAGCTAGTATCAACATCACTGTGGATGGCGACCGTCTTAATGCCCATCTTCTTGCAAGTTTTAATAACCTATTTTAAAATATATCAATGTTATCTATTAACAAGTGATTCACATTTAAAGGGATTTAGTAATAATAAAATTCACCGAGTAAAATTAAACTTCTACTCACCCTACATGCAATTTCTCCTCTATTAGCAACAAGAATTTTATCAAAGGTCTGAAGAGAGAAAACACACATAAGAAGATATTGTTACTCTCACTTTGGGACCAGAAAACAAGTTTTTTCACAACTGGATATGATCTTAATAAACATTACTTCACAGAGTAGTACTAAATACTATATACATGTTTATTTACAACCAGGTTGCCACTGAACTCATCTGGTAGAATCTGGTTGTATAATTATTCTGTTAAAGAATCAGTTGACTAGGTTCAATAATTCAAAAAGGGACCAAGGGGGACATTTATAAATTCTCTTGTCAAAAGACAACCTTTAAATGATATTACAGAATATGAAAAACCTTTAGACAAAATTATTTGACAACTTCATTTATTTTCTAAATCCAGGGCAATTCTAAGTGTCATGAATTGTTTATCAAGGGAAAGTCAGATATTCATATGCCATCTCTATTTATTTGGGGTGGAGAATTAAACAGTATTTTTTAATAACTCAGAATAGATACAAATTATGCTTATATCCAAAGATTCCAAGCAGGTTATGCTATTTGAATACAATGTTAAGTTTGAATAGCCATCAAATTTTGAAGCAGCTGAGGCCACATAACATAAAGAGCTCAGCCAGCATGGCTCAGTGGTTGAGTATCGACCTATGAACCAGGAGGTCACAATTCAATTCCCAGTCAGGGCACATGCCGGAGTTGCAAGCTCCTTCCCCAGAATGGGGCATGCAGGAGGCAGCCAACCAATGATTCTCTCTCATCGTTGATGTTTCTATCTCTCCCTCTCCCTTCCTTAATGAAATCAATAAAAATATAATTTTCTAAAAAAGGAAAAAATAGATTGATTTTGTACTTCCATTTCTAAATTCTAAATCCAGTTTTGCCACTAATTACCTATTTGACTTTAAGAAAGTTTCTGCAGGTCTTGATTTCCACTGTAAAATGATAGCATTCTAATAGGACACCATTTAATAGAGTTCTCTTCCTACTCTAAAGTTGTACAAGCTAATCCTTTTAAAGAATTGCAAACACAATCACAAGTAATTTGAATGCAATACATTTTATCACATAGTCATTTCTGATTATTGTAAACTAAATGGAACTATACAAAAGTTTTAATTATATTCCTAAAAGAAAATAGAAAGTTATATATAATCTTAAAAGTACTCTTATGGAACTTAAAGCACTATTTTAACTCAATAGGGAGTGACAATTTCAAAATTGGAAAAGGTCTTCTAAGTCTTGGTTTAACATTTTGTCACAGGTAACTCATTCCACCAAACTGAGACAAGCCTCTCCTTAAAGATAGATAAGTAAACTCCCAACCTGATAGAAGCCTGAGTCTTTGAGAGCCTTGAGTAGATAGGCCCTTCAAATATCTTATCTCAACTCAGGCTTGAGGCTGTAAAATCACCTACTTTTCAATACCCAAATGGTGATGAATAAATCCCTATAAACAGTAAACATATACTAAGAAAAAATTGTTTATATTCCTTGAATTGCATTTTAAATAATGTTAATTTTTACTACGCATTAAACATACTACGGCTGATAAAACAGCACAAACACTGGAAGTTACACAGTAAGCATAAAGTAAACATAACAAATTATTATAACATGCTGAGACCGGTTTGGCTCAATGGATAAAGCGTCGGCTTGGGGACTGAAAGGTCCCGGGTTCAATTCCGGTCAAGGGCATGTACCTTGGTTGCAGGCACATCCCCAGTGGGGGGTGTGCAAGAGGCAGCTGATCGATGACTCTCATCGATGTTTCTAACTCTCTATCTCCCTTCCTCTCTGTCACAAAATCAATAAAATATATTTTTTTAAAAATTATTATAACATTATTATTAAGGTGTACCCAAGAAGCAGAGTAATGGTTAAGAGCCAGTCTGGAGGTTAACTGCCCAGCACATGATCTTCCTGTGTGTATTTTTCTGTGAGAATTCTTGAGCCCTATTTCCTGGCATGTAAAACAAACAGCAGCATCTAGAGGTTTTAAAATGTAAGTCAGTCAGAGAATAACAAGTATTACAGGATCACATTCATATGTAGGATATAAGTAACAAAATAAACTGATGAACGGAGTGGAACCAGAGACTTGAAGCATGGAACAGAGTGTGGAATCTCAGAGAGAAGGCAGGGGAGTGGGTGGGAGGTAATCAACCAAAGACCTTGTATTCATATATGTATAACCCATAGACACAGACAATAGGGTGGTGAAGGCCTGGGGGAAAAGAGGGAAAGGAGGACCTGGAGGGGGTCAATGGGAAGAAAAAGGGCACATATGTAATACTCTCAACAATAAATAAATAATTTTTTTAAAAGAATATGAATTGACACCCTCAAAGTGTTTGGAATAGTGCCTAGCACAATATATACTCAAAAGGTGTTAGCTATAATTATTGTTATTACCCCTTTGAGCCACACACAAGACTCTTATGAATCTTTAAGTGTGATCCTATCTAACAGGAAAAAATCAGTATCAAAACAAATATTTGGCCCTACCAGTTTGGCTTAGTGGATAAGAGTGTCGGCCTGCGGACTGAAGAGTCCTAGGTTCAGTTCCAGTCAAGAGCATGTGTCACCTTGGGGGTGTGCAAGAGGCAGCTGATCAATGTTTCTCTCTCATTGATGTTTCTAACTTTCTATCCCTCTTCCTCCCTCTCTGTAAAAAAATCAATAAAATATTTAAAAATATGTATATTTGGCCGAAACAGGTTTGACTCAGTGGATAGAGCGTCAGCCTGCGGACTCAAGGATCCCGGGTTCGATTCCAGTCAAGGGCATGTACCTTGGTTGCGGGCACATCCCCGGTGGGGGGTGTGCAGAAGGCAGCTGGTCGATGATTCTCTCTAATCGATGTTTCTAACTCTCTATCCCTCTCCCTTCCTCTCTGTAAAAAAATCAATAAAATATATTTTTTTATAAAAAAGGATATGCACAATTAATATGTTTTACAAAATATATGTATATTTGCACCTGACATCTTTTTTAGGGCTATGTGCAACTTAACTGGGCCACAGGGTGCCCAGAGTAAACATTATTTCTGGTTGTGTCTGTGAGGGTGAAGATGTTTCCAGATGAGACTAACATGTGAACCAGTGGACTCAGTAAATTACATGCCTTCTCCAATGTGTGTGGTCATTATCCCATCTGTTGAGGGCCTGATAGAATACAAAGCAGAAAGAAAAATTCATTCTGCCTGCCTGATTGAGCCAGAACATCGGTCTTCTCCTACCATTGGCTGGGACTTACTGTACACCATCGGCTCCCTTGGTTCTCAGGCCTTTGAGCATCAACTAGAATTACACTGCCAGCTGTCCCGGATCTCCAGCCTTACTAATAGTATGAGCCAATAAATCTCCATCCATATCTCCTGCTGGTTCTGTTTCTCTAAGGAGACTTTATCAATCCAGGACTGCTGTTTTACCAATTAGTACACAAATTCAATAAAGATAATTATATCAATTAATCTTTTAAATAAATAACAGATGTATATGGTTCAGAATTTCAAAGTTTAAAAAAAAAAGAGGATATACTGTAGAAAGCCTAAGGTAACACTGAAAAATTACAAGTAATTTTTGGGTATTGCTCAAGCTCAAAATATAAAGCTAGGGTAAAAAGGTCAGAACATGAAGAAACTTAGTAGTATTTGCCACTTAAGGAACTGGGACTCTATTTGTGGAGAGCCACATAAAAGGCACTCTGAGGATACTCCAAGGGGTTGGGAGAGGAGGGAAGCCATTTAAATCAGGAACCTGAATACTTGAAGATGAAAGGGTTTTCATATGTCATGAGCGACAGAGAAGGCTATTTCATAACTGTGCTAATTAATGTCATCTGAGAAAGAAATACTTTCGAAATTTCCTGAGGACTTTCTTAAAGTTATTTTCTATTAATTTGTTCTCTCTCTCTGCCTCCTTCCTTCTTTCCCTTCTCTATGTTTAGATCGCCATTGCTGGGGTCTAAAACTACAAAGGATACTCACTGCATTCAGACACCAAGAGATGGGCTGACCCAACCCCTTCCACTGGGTACTTTTTGGAAAAATGATGGCAGAACTCCAGACATGGAGTTGCTCACCAAACACTTCTGAAAAGGGATATAGCACAGAGGGTAAATTCACCAGCTCAGGAAAAGAACAGGATTGAGTTTACACCAAGCTTACACTTACTATTTGTGAATTTTGAGCCTCAGTTTCCAAATGTACAAAATTAAGTTAAGAATAATATTAAGCAGCTGACATTTAGGGCACATGCATTCTATATGCCGGGTACTATGACATATCCCTTTTGTGCACTATCTCAATTAAATCCTCATAATAGTCCTAGGAGGTCAGTTCTGATAAAATCCCCATTTTACAAATGAAAAGAAAAAAAACAAAAAGAAACAAAAAAACTGAGACTTGATTTGGCCAAAGCACTTGCCTAAGTCAGTTTAACTAGTAGTAAAGCCAGAGTTTATCTCTAGATATTCGTGTCAAAAACACACTGTGATGTGATATGATCAGAGTATTAGGCACAAGCTTTAAACACTATATTATTAATGCCAAAGATTGCATTTGTTATGGCAGGCACACCATAGTGCAATTCTGGCTCCACTAATTTAAGGCCTACTGAAACCTCCTGATCTTTTTCTAGTAAACTGTTAAGTTAAATCTTCCCTATCCTCATGAACGTACATGTAACAAACTGATTTGTTAAACTCAAATCAAAAATTAATCTTTTTAGTAATGATTAAATTACACCTAGTTTAATTTTGACTTGATGTGAGTCTCTGATAAAATGCAGAGTAAGAAAATAGTCAATGGCAAGTTCAAATGAATGAGAATCAGTTTACGTATTACCAGCCCGGTTGCAGTGGCTCAGTTGGTTGGACATCAAAGGTTTTTCAGTTCAATCCCCAGTTGGGGCATGTACAAAAAGCAACAGATCAAAATTTCTCTCTCATATCAATGTTTCCCTCTCATTGGCACAGCAAAGGAGAAGGAAGGCAAAGATAGCAGACAGCAGATCTGATTTCAGACATTTACAAACAACATAGGGACCTGCTTAGTAGATCTAAAGAGAAGGGGGCGATTCCCTCTTTAAATGTTCTAAACCAAGATCCTTATACAAAAGTATTCATTTATTCTTAGTAATTATCAATAGCCACAAATATGGTAGGCATTTTAGCTATTCTTGTAACCCCCACTATGAGGCTGTAGCAAAACTACTAGTAAGTATCAAACCAAAGTCTGCCACACATATAGACACTTACTAACAGACATAAACAATCTTAAAATGTGCTCAGAGAATGAGCACATTTCCTGGATAAGCTCTGGGAATGTGGATAAACTCAGAGAAGTCTCAAGTTCCTGCACTTTATAATGCTCCAACAGCCTGCATGAAAACTTCACATGAGGCAAATGCATCAATATTCTTATTTGGCTAACCATATTGTCAGACTCAGAGCCATCAAGAATTCTCCAACCCAGTGACAGGACACAGAACCATTTCATCAAGCACAGGTTCTATCCTTAAAGGTCAAGACTGAAAGGCCAACTAGGTGGTTACTCTTCCAATTCAAGGGCTGAGAATTTCTATAATATATTAGCTAATTATATTATACCACTAACTTCATCAATGTGGGCCCATTTCTAACATGATTACCTAATGAGGAAGGCTGAGTGTTTATAGAGAGAAAGATGGCTGAACCACTTGTATTTCCCTCCCTCTGGAATGTGGCCTCTTAAATAAATGCAAGCTAAGCACTCCTACAGTGTTCCTAATTAGGACAGCCATTACCTTTAAATGGGAATGCAACAGGTGTGCAGAAATGTACATACATACATGCACCCAAGGCATACTGTCTATGCTGAAGCGTTTCGTTTTTCTTTCTACTAATCTATAGATTTCATAATAGGGAGCTTATCAAAACTAATTCATCTGGACCTATGCCATTCAATAAAGTAAACACTAACCACATGAGGTTACTAAGGACTTCCAATCTGGCTAATCAAATTGAGATTTGTGCCAGAAGTGTAGATTATACATTGGCTTTAGAAGTCCTGGTATACACACACACACACACACACACACACACACACACACACACACACAAAATGCAAAGAATCTCATTGATACTATTTTTATCGATTATATGTCAAATAACATTTTAGACACTGAGTGAAAATACATTAATCTCACCTGTTTACATTTATTTTCTTAATGTGGCTATTAGAAAATTTAAAACTACATATGCCCTGCAACTTAGTCCACATTATATTTCTATTGTACTGTAATAATGTGGACCCTTCCTCTCCCCAAGCCTCAAGATCTCCTCAGTAGTTTTCTATGCTTCAACAGATGATTTAGAAGACATCAAAGCTATTTGTCAAATAACCATTCATATCAGTTCTACTTTCATGATCTTCAACTTGAACCATCTCTTCTTAACCAAAACTCTTCTTCTGCCCTCTTTGATGCCTCTATAGTCACACTAAATCATGTTTTATTTCTAATCACCACTTCCAGTCCCTTTATCTCTCCTATTACCCACCTCAAACATTATATCAGGATTTTAACTAGAATTACCTTTTCTAAAAATGTATAATATATATAATTGCCTTCAATCAAAACAAATCTTTAATATAAAGTAAATTTTTAAGAATCAATAGTATAAAATACCAAGTTTTTAAGAGGAAAAAGAAAACACAAACACCTCACATTATAATAGTTATTCTGCTGAAAACAAGGGAAATACATTGTAAATTTATTCAGTTGTTGGCATAAATACAAAATTAAAGACTCAGACTGACTCACAATGTAAAAAGGAACAAAGATTGAACACCCATAAAACCTATGATATTAGAGCAAGAAATCATTACACAGCATTAATAAAATGTAATCAGTCCACTGAACACAGTGTGGAAACAAGAAAGTAAAATCATTACAACTTACCTGTTGAAATATTTTTTGAATACTTACTTTTTCATTAGAATCATATGCTGCTGAACAGAGACTACGGGTCACCATTAAATGCTGTCTTGAATGGTGTGAAACATTCTAAAAAAAAAAAAAAAAAAAAAAAAAGTGAAATAAATTACAGCAATTTGAATAGGCTTCAAAAAATATTTATTTTTTTAGCCGGGACCGGTTTGGCTCAATGGATAGAGCGTCGGCTTGGGGACTGAAAGGTCCCAGGTTCGATTCCGGTCAAAGGCATGTACCTTGGTTGCGGGCATATCCCCAGTAGGAGGTGTGCAAGAGGCAGCTGATCAATGACTCTCTCTCATTGATGTTTCTGACTCTCTATCTTTCTCCCTTCCTCTCTGTACAAAATCAATAAAATATTTTTTTTAATTTATTTTTTAGATGGGGAGAAAGAGGGGGAGAGGAGGAGAGGAGAGAGAAGGAAAAGAGGACAGGGGACGGGGGAGGCAAATTTTAATTTTTCCCAAGTCATAAGGCTAGTCTATAATGGTTACAAGATTTAAGCATAGGCCTGTTAGAAGCATTGTAAAGTTTTTTTATTTTGAAATAATAAAAAAAAAAAGTGGCACCTCCCATCATAACACTAATGTTTATGCAAATACATGATTTGGGGTGAAAAAAAAAAAAAAACAATTTGCAAGTGGGTCTCACCACTCCCTGTATTCAAATAAAAATTCAGTCTCCCAATGCCTTCAGCAGAAGAGCTAAGACATAGTAAGTTTTCTCTTAATTAAATTTAATAGGATATTCCTTCTCCTAAAAATCATGTTCTATGCTTATAACCTCAGCAATGCAAAAAACAAATTGAGGAATGAGAAGCAAAAACTACCTGGGAATTTCCCATATTTATTCTGCTGCAAGGTAGCACTAGGATATTTACACAAGAATGTAAATAGCATACCAGTTTTCTATCAATTTTATAAAGTAGAACTTCCTAATAATGAAAGGTCTATAATGGTCTGTTGTAAGAACATGTCTCTAATCCTTTTACAAAAGGCAAAAATCGTATGTGTCTTTAATCTCTACCAAATAAAGGATGTAACTGATTCCTGGTGGCAAAAATCAAATGTGAGTTTTCCAGAGACAAAATGCAGTCTGGGATAGAAAATTTAGGTGTTTTAATTAACTTTGGAGAGTGAAAATAAACAGTAATGTTTTTACTTCTGGCAAGGGAACACCTGGAAAAGCAGCATACCACCTGGGAAAGACTCTAGGAAAGGAAGTGAAGGAACCTCAGTTCTCATCCTAGCTCTACAATTTGAGCAAACCACTTTTTTAATCCCTCGGCTCTCTTAAGAAATGCAAGATTAGGTTACTTTTCTCTAAGGTCACTTAATAACCTAAGCCACTCTTACTCAAAAAAACGAAAGCTTAGTATGGAGGTATCTAACATGTACAAGCTTTTGACAATTGAAGGATATGCAGTTACTCCAAACTCAACATTTGATCCAAGAATATGTTAATGCATGTCTCACTTACTGTTCAACTACCAACAAGCAAACATACAGAGCTACTTGGTAGAACAAATGGGGACAGGGTTAGGGATGCCCACAACCTGTGCAGTTGAAATATGCATTTAACTTTTCATTCTACAGTCTGTAGTTGGGAATGCAAAAATACTGAATCCAAGTCCTAGCCTGTTTGGCTCAGTAGATAGAGCACTGACTTTCAGACCAAAGGGTCCCAGGTTCAATTCTGGTCAAGGGCACATACCTTAGTTGCAGCCTCCTCCCTGGCCCGGGCCCAGGCCCTGGTCTGAGTGTGTGCAAGAGGCAACCAATTTATGTGTTTCTCTCACATCAATGTTTCTCTCTGTCTTCCCCTCTCTTCCACTCTCCCTAAAAATCAATGCAAAAATATCCTGGGGTGAGAATTATAAATTTTTAAAAAGCCCTAACAGGTTTGGCTCCGTGGATAGAGTTTCGGCCTACGGACTGAAGGGTCCCAGGTTCGATTACAATCAAGAGCATGTATCTTGGTGGTAGGCACATCCCCAGTAGGGGGCTTGCAAGAGGCAGCTGATCGATGTTTCTCTCTCATCAATGTTTCTCCCCTCCTCTCTGTAAAAAAATCAATAAAATATATATTTTTTAAAAAAATACTGAATCTAATATGCATTTGGTTGAATCTGAGGATATGAAATCCCCATACAAAGGGATGAGTGTGTTTATTAATATGCACAATCATATTAAAAACCAAGATGGAGGCATAGGATAGACACCTAAATGCAGCCTACCACAACAATTTTAAATTTACAACTGAAAAACAGAGGAAACATTGCCCTGAAACACCAGACAGCTAGCTGAGTGGAATCTCTACCATCTAGGAAGGAAAGAGAAGGGACGCTGAGCCTCGGGAGCTGTGGAGGTGCGAAGATCTGTGTGTGCGGAAAAGGTGGCTGCTGGCTTACTCGCGGCAAGTGGAGAGGGCGGGCCGAGTTCACTGCTAGCTTACTCCTGGCGCACAGCGAGGGCAGGCAGCTAACTCGGGCAGCTAACTCCTTTCTTGTTCAGGAGGAAAACAGAACCGCCCTATTACTCTGATAGACAGCCCCAGTCAGGGAGAGGCCGCACTGTCAGGCAGTGGGCCAAGCTCTCTCAGAGGTGTGTGTAGGCAGCAGCCATTACTGCAGAACTCTGGAACTGGACCCTCTTAAGGAGGGACTGACGAGAAACCAAAGCTTGATGCACCACCCCAAGACTCTGCCCCATCCAAGCAGAACACAGAAACCCTCCCGGAGGTTGGCTTCCTCGTCTGAGAGAAAAAGAAACTCCCAACTGCACTGAGAGACCATCTGAGCTGAGAAAAAACTGGGGGACCAGGCAAAACTTGAGAACAGCCTTTCGCCAAGTGGTGTCGTGCCTGCAACCAATCTTTCGGACTCACCGCTAACAGGACTTTCCTAAGGCAGGACTGATGGGGAACCAAAGTTTGTCTGCTCCACCCTGAAACTCTGCCCCTTCCAAGCGGAGCACAGAAGCCTTCCTAGCGGAGCACAGAAGCCTTCCTAGCTGAGACACTGCTGATCCTCACAGCCAATTGGCTTGGAGATCAACACTCCCCAGTGATACCAACAACAAGCAAGGCTTAACAACAAGACTTCACACACAGCCCACAAAGGGCTGCACCAAGACTGTCCACCTCAGGTAATTACTGGGCTGTACCAGGACACCTAGCACACAAAACTATTCCATCAAATCAAGGAAGCAGCAAAAATGCAGAGAAGAGGCAGGACACAAAGGAAGAAAATGGAGGAAAGTAAAAGAATGGATATTGAGTTCAAAACCATAGTTATAAAGTTTTTCAAGAATTTCCTAGAAAAGGCCAATAAAATAAATGAGACCTATGAGGATATGAAAAAGGATCAACTAGAAATAAAGAAAACATTGTTGAAATTAAAAAATATTATATAGCCGAAGCCGGTTTGGCTCAGTGGTAGAGCATCTGTCTACGGACTGAAAGGTCCCAGGTTCGATTCCGGTCAAGGCATGTACATTGGTTGCGGGCACATCCCTGGTAGGGGGGTGTGCAAGAGGCAGCTGGTCGATGTTTCTCTCTCATCGATGTTTCTAGCTTTCTCTCTCTCTCCCTTCCTCTCTATAAAAAATCAATAAAATATATTTTAAAAAATATATATTATACAGAGTCCTAAAAACACAATGGAAGATCGCAAGAATCAAGTCAAAGATTTGGAACATGAAGAGCCAGAAGACACTCCTCTGCAAAAGCAAGAAGACAAGAGAATCCAGAAAGTTGAAGATAATGTAAGAAGCCTCTGGGACAACTTCAAGCGAACCAACATCAGAATTATGGGGGTCCCAGAAAAAGAGAAAGAGCAAGATACCGAAAGCCTATTGGAAGAAATAGTGACAGAAAACTTCCCCCACCTGGTGAAAGAAATAGACTTACATGTCCAGGAAGCGCTCAGAACTCCAAACAAAAGGAATCCAAAGAGGACCACACCAACACACATCATGATTAAAAATCCAAAAGCAAAAGACAAAGAGAAAATATTAAAAGCAGCAAGAGAAAAGCAGGTCGTTACCTATAAAGGAGCACCCATATGATTGTCAGCTGATTTCTCAACAGAAACTATGCAGGCCAGAAGGGAGTGGCAAGAAATATTCAAAACGATGAAAAACAAGAACTTACAACCAAGATTACTCTATCCAGCAAAGCTATCATTCAGAATTGAAGGGCAGATAAAGAGCTTCACAGATAAGAAAAAGCTAAAGGAGAGAGAGAAACCAAGATGGCGGCATAAGTGATTTAAAAATTAAAACTAATATAAAGGACATCTATCATCCAAAACCACGGGAAGGTTGGCTGAAAGAGAGGGGAGCGCAAGCGCTGAAAAGCTGAGGAGCCTAGGTATTGAGGCACGCAAATCGGGCTGGTGGCGGGCGACAAGGCACACGGCTTTTCTTTTCAACCCGAAAGGAAACAAGCTCCCAATCACTTTGAAATCAAGTTTCTGGGGTCACATGGGGGACCCAGACACCTACAGGGAGAAGCTGGTCTGTCGGCCATCGGTCCGAAGTGAGGGCGACTCTTGCAGAGGTGCACGCAGCAATCATTGTTTACTGCGCTGGATCGCAGGGAAGCTGGGACGGCTGACAGCAGCCATTGCTGTTAGCCACGCTCCAACCTAGTGATATCCTGAGACCCCACCCCACCCTGAGGCCCCACCTCGCCCTTAGACCCTGCCCTGAGGCCCCACCCACAGATTCTACAGACCTGCCCAAGCACCACACAGCTGCTTTTGCATATAAATGGCTGGTATTGCCGAAACCGGTTTGGCTCAATGGATAGAGCATTGGCCTGCAGACTGAAAGGTCCCGGGTTCAATTCCGGTCAAGGGCATGTGCCTTGGTTGCGCGCACATCCCCAGGAGGGGGTGTGCAAGAGGCAGCTGATCGATGATTCTCTCACATCGATGTTTCTAACTCTCTATCCCTCTCTCTTCTGCTCTGTAAAAACTCAATAAAAATATATATATTAAAAATAAATAAATAAATAAATAAATAAATAAATAAATAAATGGCTGGTATTGTGGCAGCTTAATGAAATAA